GCAATATTCTTCCGACGTCTGATTTCTTTTTAAAAAATGCGTTTCTAAAGTGCATAAACTTCTGGGATCGAATGTATAGCCAATACATCCTTAATACTGATTTGTGTATTGTTTTTATTTCGTTATGAATTATTGACCGTTCTTATCTTGCCTGTCTTAATTATTCGAACAGAAAGAGAAGCGTGAATCAATTGACCAGTGGGTCGCTTGAAACTGGCGATGACATAATAATACCGTAAAATACAAAGGGCAGCCAGCAGACATGAAACAACCGCGTTGAAGGTCGACTCACGGACCTCCCACTTTCGCGAGCGGAAGTACGAAATCGTGAACAAATGCCTCGAACCGTGGCAAAATAGACTCGAAATGAGATTTCAATGACCGATTGTACATTGAATTTCAATCGTAGTTACAAAATGAATAAGAATTCGCAGTTTCGTTTGAATCGTCTGAATAACTAAGAAAGCGATTATGGAAACGAATTTCACTTCCTATTGATTTAAATAATCAACGATCCACCGTCATTCATTGCGTAAGGATTGAACGTCTGCATGCGGGGAATCGAAACTATGCTCGATACGAAAATAGAGAGATGCCTCGGTATGAATTAAATATTAAGCGTGTACGAAACGATTACTAGAATATTCATGATGCTAGCGACTTGACGCTGTTAAATATTCGATCAAACCGATTTTTCTAAATTCTCTCTTTATTTATTTATGCAGATGCCCTTTTATGCAAAGATTAAATACTCTCTTAATTGTGCTTGAATATGACATCGTTTCATGTGGCAAATAGGCAATGAAACTTGAATTAAAATTATAATTACGCCGACCATAAATGCAACAAATATAGTAAAAATTGAAATATAAAATAAATACCGGATGTCGTAAACAACTTATGGCCATAGGGATGAGTGTTACATCCGACATTTCACTTGAAATATTTCAGACCGGTTTTAACACATTACACAACTTACGAAATCCACACGGGAACCAGTTTAAGCTTTACCATAATATCTCTCTTTTCAATATGTGATATTAATGAAATTTCGTATATAAAAACATTTTATATCAATGAAATTTCATATATAAAAACATTTTATATTAATGAAATTTCGTATATAATAAAAATAACGTATATAAAAACAATTTTATACTTTGGCATCAAAGACAGAAATTCTACTATAATTGTCGATCTTTGATTTAGCCTTAAACGAAGAAAGTTGCGAGGCGGTTGCGTAACAGGACATAGTAAAATTTTCTCGTTTCGAGTACTTCAAGGTGTCTCCCTTGTAAAACTAATTACTATACTAATCTCTTTAGGACTGTCTTTTGAAAAGGTACTGCGCAACGTTTCGTTGAATGTGACAGCGTGCAATGAACAACCGCGCGTAGCTACTCGCTCGCAAGTTTCTCACTTACATTCGTTTCAACCACATTGAAAGAAGAATTAATTTACGTTCAAGTGACAAAAGAACTCACGTGTTACATCCGGCATCAATGCTGAACAGAATCTCTTAC